GGGCGATAGAGAGGAGGCTTGCTCTGTTCGCTGACGCCTGGTCTCACGATTTGTGGGCTTATCGGGTCGTCTCCGATGGTCTGCGGTGGCGTTGTATGGATCCCGCTCCTTTGGGGGGCTTGGGGCTGACAGGGCAGGCCTCTTTCTCTACGCTCTGTCCTTCATCTTGGAATGGGTTTGCTTGGGTGGGGTTGAAACGATGACGTCCCTCAGGTGGGTCTCCCACCCGTTTCCAGTCCCAAAACGGGACTGTGCAGACCTGAGGTTCATTCTGGACTTGTCCCGTCTGAATCCCTAGGTTCATTGCCCCTCCTTTCGGATAACTATGCTATCCCAGGTCCGGTTTCTGTTGGAGCCAGGCACTTCGATGGTGTCCCCTGGACCTCTTGGACACGTATTGGCACATCCCGATTCATCCGGGGTTCAGGGACTGGCTTGGTTTTGTTGTGGGTTGTTAGAGTTACCGTTCATGTTAAACCTGGTGTCTCGCGTTTTCACACGCCTTACTCGGGTTGTGGTGGCCCGTCTGCATCTTTTAGGTGTTCGGGTGTTGGCATACCTCGACGACTGGCTGGTATAGGCTCCCAGCCGGTCAGCATGTCTGCTAGCCAGGAGTTTGGTTCTTTCTCAGCTCACCGGGTCCGGGTTCTTGGTGAACTGGAGGAAGTCCCATCTGGTCCTCTCCCATTTTTGGATTTGGCTGGGTCTTGTTTGGGACTCTCGGACCTCTTCCTTGTCTCTCCCTCCAGAGTCTCTCCTTCGCCTGCGGTCCCGCCTTTGCCATTTTCTGGAGGGCTCCCGGATCACTCGGCGGTTGCTAGAGGGTCTGTGTGGGAGCCTGAACTATGCGATGATGGTCTACCCACTGGGTCGGGTTTGGCTTTATCTTGTTTTGGTTCCTTCGGGAACATCCCTTCCGCCTCTCTCGCGATTGCTGGGTTTGACCCTCAGGGGCCGTGCATTGGCTGCTGCGTCGCCGGCTTCCTCTTCGTGTTTTTCGGGGTTCAGTGCCATGGCGCCTATCTGAGCCCTCACTCGATGTGTTCATGGACGCTTCATCTCTCGGCTGGGGCTTTGTAACCAGTGCTCACCAGGCCAGCCAGAGGCGATGGGGTCCATCCTTCCGTCGGGCCTACAGCACAGTGCGGGAGTTCTTGGCGGTTTGGTTTGCGCTTCAGAGGGTTCGCCCGTGGGTTGACGATCCAGCTCCATTCGGACTGCTTCCCGGTGGTTCTTTGCTGAATCAAGGGAGATCGATGCAGTCCCAGGCGCTTTGGCTCTGATCATTTTGGATGACTCGTCTGCTGGGTTACCGAGACTGCTGGGTTACCGAGCCAAACCCCGAGACGAGTCTCGGGGTTTGGCTCTTCTGGCAATTCACGTTCGGGGGGGGGTGTCCAACGTCTTGGCGGATGGCCTGTCTCAGTTTGTTCCCCTGTCCACGGAATGGATGTTCGATGCCGACTCGTTCTGTTGGCTCTAGCAGATGTTTGGGCTCCCGGAGGTGAACCTCTTCGTGTCGGTGTGGTAGAAGCGTCTTTTGATACATGTGACATCCTTCCCTGACTGTGAGGCTGTCGGGGTCGATGCCTTACAGCAGGACTGGTCGAGGTGGGGGTTCCTGTACATCTTTTCCCCGGTCCCGCTGGTGCTCCAGATCCTGGCTTGCTTGGAGACTTACCAGACTTACCAGGGGAGAGTAGTTCTTGTGGCCTCGTGGTGGCCGGCCTAGCCTTGATTTCAGGCGCTGCTTGCACAGTGTCCAAACCCGGAGGTTTTCCCCTGGCTCCATCTCTTTCAGCAGATCAAACCGGTGCGTCACGTAGCTGGTTCGACCTTCTCCTCGAGTCTTTGCATATCGTATTTTTGACTCGAGTCTATCATCATCTCTATGGTGATCAGGTGGCTTCGTTGCTGGTGTCCCAACTGCGGGCTTGGTCTCGGCAGCAGTATGAAGCCTCTTGGCGGTCCTTCCGCTTCTTTCCTTCGCTTTGTAGCTATACTCCTCTGTCGGTTAAGGTTGTCGTGTCCTTTCTTTCTTTCTTGGTTGTTCCAGGACCATCGTCTTATGCCCAATACTGTCGCCTCTTATTGTGCGGTGCTGGCGGAGCTGCTGCAGTTTGCTTTTGATATTGATGTTACGTCTGCGCCATTTCGCAAGCTGTCTAGTGCATTGTTTCACCTCCGGCCTGCTCATGCGCCACTTGAGCCATCCTGGTTGTTTAACAGGGTGCTCTCCTATCTCTCTTCTCCTCGGTTTGTAGTGACCCCTTCGGTTCAGGACTGTTTCTCTAAGGCTCTTTTCTTGTTGGCATTGGCCTCTGGGGGTCGGGTTGGGGAGCTTCATGCTCTCCTCTGGCACAGGGTTTTCTGTTCGTTTGGTCCTGGTGGTAGGTTTGTTCGTTTGCAGCCGTCTTTTTCTTTTTTGGCAAAGAATGAGACTGCTGCTTTCCAGAGGGATCCTTGGGTTGTTGATGCTTGGTAGTCAGGCTGGGAGTGCATCATGTGTTGTGTTTGCTTGCGACTCTTCGCGTTATTTGCACGCCACGGGCTCTGTGGCTGGGGATGCGCTTTGGGTTGATCCGGTTTCCTTTGTTCCCTGTTCCAGGGTTCGAATCTCCAAGGTCGTCCTCAGGGTTATTTGGTGTAGCCAGCCTGTGGTCTATCCCTGTGCCAATGATGTTTGTTAGTTTGCTGTTTTTGCTGATGTTTTTGGTCAACCCAGTATGTCCTGGGTTGACATTCGGGCACTTGGTTTTTGGAGGTCGAACTGGGTCCTGGCTGTGCATTACTTGGTGAACATTCCTGGGCCTAGTCGGGCCTGTGTCACTGGGTTGGTGGTTGCAGCCAGTTGTCTCGACTTCGAGTTGAGGAGTGAGTGGCAACCGCCTCCCGGGTGAGTCTCTCTGGTTTTTATCTTTTGGTATGTAGCTCCGGGGAGCCAAAAGGGCTCCTCCTCCCAGAAAACCAACATTGAATGTAATGAAACTCTGTTTTCTTGGCAAGACCCAGAGGCTCCCTGGCAACCCTCCCTCCCCCAGGTTGGTGGTTTTTCTCGTGTTTTGAAATCCAGCCTCAGAACCGGGGTGTGGATTGCCAGCGAGGGGGTCTGGGGCTCTCCCTTTCCCCTATCGTGGAAGAGGGAGCTGCGTAAACAGAGGCACGGCGACGTGTGACGTCATGCTCATTTGCTCGTTTCTGTTTGGGGAGCGCTATCTACTTGTTTGGCTTTCTGTAGCAATTTTCACCTGAATAGGGGGGTTTGTTTTGGGACACTTACCTTTCTGGGTGCCTGACTTGGTCGATGGCAGATATAGAATGCTTCCAACCACACGGGGGCTTTCAATAGGCCATTGCTCCTCATGCCTCTCTGAGGGGGCCAGGTTCTGATTTGTGGTTCCTGGTAGACCCACAGAACTCCATACACATGATTGATGCCAAAGTCTGATATTAGCATATCAGCCTGGATAGCTCTGGGAAGCCTCCGGGTCTCACCCAGAAAATGATGTTTCATTACATTCAATGCTGTTTTTTTCTGTGGGGAGCCCCTATGGCTCCCTGGAGCTTATCTGGCTAATGTATGTTATGTTAGACCGGGACATTAGCTAAAGAGTTCAGACCTACCAGGGATAAGCGCCAGAACCTGGCCCCTTCAGAGAGGTTTCAGGGAGCAATGGCCCTGGAAAACCCCATTATGGTTGGGGGGTTTTCCTTATCTGCCATCAACCAGGGATAGGCACCCAGAAAGGTACGCATAACAAACCCCACACGGTAAGAAACTACAACAAAAACCGAACAGAGATGTAGAAAGCTTCATACAATCCCAAGGAAACAATCAAACAATTAATTTACTGCCGCGCCGATCGTCTGCGCAGCCCTCCCCTCCCCTTCCCGGGAAGGGGAGGAGGGGCCCCGGACCTCACCACGCTGGCAGCCTTCAGTTTGTAAGCTAGTGTCAACCGGGATAGACGCTTCTCTGGCCTCAAATTCCTTGGGCGGTGTTTGCCTTGTGTGGCGTTCTCTGCTGTTTTTGTGTGGTGTGTGGTGGCCAGGAGTACTTCATCAGTGCCAGGGCTGCATGCGCTTAGGGGCTTCCTTTCCTAGGCGCCCTGTGAGTACTGCCCTTGCGTGTCAGGGTTATCTTTCCTGGGGTGTTCAGGAACCGCTCATGTAGGGGTTCTTGCTGCTCGGCATTTGCCTCGCCCTTGGGGCCAGCTGGGGCTTGGGGCCCTTGTTTGGCCTTGGGTAGGGTGGGGTATTGTGCTGGTTAGGGCATCAAGGTGTTGCGCAGCCTGCCACCTAAGCGGCGACCAGTTCCTGTTGCCTCTGGGGACGGTGTACTTTTGCGGGGTTTTTCTCTTCTTTTGATTTTGTTTGCCTGGTGGAGGTTCTGTATTGTGGGTCTATAGTTCCCTTGGTATTTCTCTGCACCTCTGTGAGGGGGGTCAGGTTCTGGCTCTGGTTCCCGGTATGCCAACAAGAACTATCTGTGGCTGTTGTGACCTTTTAGTGTGAAGCAATCTCAGGAAGGTAACTTCAGGGAGACACCGGGTTCCTCCAGAAATTGGTGTTAAATTTCATACAATGCTGGGTTGGTTCTACATAAAACATTTGTATCTTTTTACAAATATAGTATTTGTAAATAGATTCACTTTTTACATAATTAAAGATCAATTTACAATTTCTAAATAACAAATTGATCTTTGATTATGGATTACAAGGAGTTTATAAAAGTTTGTAATTATATTCCACATAAAGAATTTTTTGTTTTGCTTTTACTGTACAAAATATTGCTCAGTAATGAATAGAGAAGAAATCCAATTCATGCAATTTTAATAAAGAAATTTAATTACCAGACTTAGAAAAGTTGAAGTTATTTGAACACTAGTTAATTTTTTCATTTGCCTTGACAGTCTTCTATTGAGAGTTTAGCAGAGTTTAGGTTAATTATGAATTTTGTTGTTAATTATTATAAATTACAAACGTTTCCATATATTCAGGAGTGATTGAGAGTGGTTTTGTGCGTGGTGAGGAGCGCTGGCAAGCTGCAGAGTCTACAGGAAGATCAGTGCCACTCAACTATAATGCCGTCACTCAGAGTCTGGCAGTGTCAGCCCCTGGAAGAGACAAGGTTTACTTCTTAGCACCAGGTGAGTTACTGGGATAAAGCAACCGTACATTATGAACTGATGATGCAGACAGTATGGGTTGAGTACTGAAGTTTAGGAATGTTACTGGTTTGTCATTCACAACAAAATTGATAGGGAAGAATTCTTGAGACCTGGAACTTCAAGAACAAGAGCTCATAGATTTAAAAAAACTAAACAAAGCTGCCGAAGAAATATGAGAAAATTCTCTTTCACAAACAGAGTGATAGACAGTTGGAACAAGTCAAGTGAGAAGGTGGTGGAGGCCAAAACTGTCAATAGTTAGTGCCTGGGAAGATGGGACACCACCAGGGGTGCAGTGCCAATTTTATAGGTGCCGGAGTTCTGGTGCGTCCGACAAAAGCCTGTCATTTCCTACCCTGTTTCTATGTCACACAATTAAGTATTTCATACTTGTACTCACTAATTATCATAAAATATAATTATCAAACAGAAAAATCTTAAATTTATAAATAAATGATTGATGTTATTAAAACACTTAGTGCTCAGAAAATACAACCAGTGAAAAGTTTCACAATAGTTTCCACAAAGGGTCAGGTGTGAGATGTTTTCGTGGGCGTGAAGCAACTCTTGTCCTGGTGTCATCTGCCGATCTGTGGTACCGCATGATATGATACAGCCATGATATGGCATATCATGGCCTACATACCTACCACGTTCCGGACCAACCGGGCTGTGGTGGGTATGTGGGCCTGCGGGCCGCTCCAAGCAACAGCCTGGTGGACCAAACTCTCACAAGTCAAGTTTGGCCTCGGGCTGGCCTTGGGGAGTAGAAGAACTCCCAGAACCCCATCAACCAGGTATCAACCAGGTATCATATGGCTCAGGAGTCCACTGGACTAGAGGAGGTCCATGTAGTTTAACAAACATTAGTGCTGATAAATGTTTTATGAGAATTCTTGAGTGTGTTTTTATTATTAAGTTCATGTAACTGAATCCACTCTCACACTCAGGAGTACTAATAAGAATACCTTGTAAACAGCTCAGTAATGGGTGTAAATCTTGGAAGATGTGCTGTCCATGATCCTCCGCATAGTCTCTGAAGGCATTTAGAGATTCTTTTGCAAATCTGTTGTTCAAGTTGAGAGGCACATTCTGATAGTTCCTTTTGATTTAGAGGTGATCTACTGTAAACCGAGTACAATTTGTCCATAAATGTTTGAAAATTAATAATTCCATGAATTTCTCTCACTGAATCACCTACTGGAAGTTCTAATCTGTGATTAAGACAGGGCCAGATTATTATATCAGGGTAATGTTCCTTGAGAATTGTTGCAATGACAGATTTGACACCAAGCATGACACTTGCACCATCACTAGCAAATGCTATAAGGTTCTGTTTCAAAAATAAGTTGTCAAACCCATGATACTTGAGACAGCTCAATAAATGCCTAGCAATAGTTGCTGCTTTCTAATCAGGTAGTTCAATTAGATCTAAGAACATGAAATGTTCCTTATCACTTTCACATTTAAACTAAACTGTCAAGGTTGTCTTAATGCTCAGGCTTGTTGATTCATCAATGAGAACGTAAATTTTGCCATTTATTTACTTTATGTATGCTGGTAGATTTTCTTTTTCATATTAATGGCTATGTGATTGATTATCACTGTGGCACTAGTGTGGGAATAAAGTCCCATTCCAATGTCAAGACCATCTTGCTTTTGTAGTTCCAGTAAACCAAAGTGATCGGAGTATGGTCTGTCATTCTGAGCTAAATAAAATGCAGAATGCAAAAATTAACAAGTTGTCTTTAGATATGAAGCATTCATGGCATCACACAAATTTCCAAGAGCTTCTTCACTTGCTACATTTTCAACACAAAGCAGCAGTGTGAGCTTTTGATAGTTTATGGTCAACAGTTTTTCTGAGAGGAGCCCCGTTGGCTCCCTGGAACTATTGGACTGATATTAGCAATATTAGTCTGAGGCTTCAGTCACAATGGCGTTCTGCCTACCGGGAAAAATGAGCCAGAACCTGGCCTCCTCAGAGAGGCGAAGGGAGCAATGGCCAATGAAAACTCCACTGTTTGAGAGTATATTCATGTCTGCCATCGACCGGGGTTAGGCACCCAGAAAGGTATGCACCCCAAAACAGACCCCAACTGGTAGAATAGTATAACCCAACACCAAACAGAGCCCAAGAACTGCCCCCCAAGAAAAACAGGGTAACTAGCAAATCGTCATCATCTAGACGTGCCACTCATTCGCACTCCCTCCCCAGCCCCAGGAGGGTTAAGACCCTGCTCCACTGAGCCAGTTGCTAGACTGCCAGTTCATCCACTGAAGCCGGCTGGGGCTGACGTCTCCTGTGGCCTCATTTTCCTGCCAGGGTTTTACCCTTGTGATTATACCTGCCGTGTGTTAGGGCATTGGCCCTACTTAATGGTACCGGTGAGTTACTGGTATTGGTTACTGGTACCAGTACTTTAGGCTGCATGCGCTTAGGGTTATCTTCCCTAGATGCCCTGTAAGTACATTCCTTGGGCCTCAGGGTACTCTTCCCTGAGTGCTTTTGGGTTATCAGTCTCGTAGGGGTTGGTGTCGCTTGACATCCGCCTTGCCCTTGGGGATAGCAGTGGTCATGGTGCTTTTGTGTGGCCCTGGGTAGGGAGTGTTTGTAGCTGATTGAAGCACACGGTACTGCACAGCACGCATACTAGCAACGGCCATGTCTCTCTGACCTCTTGTTGTTGTGAAGCACATTCAGGGTTTCTTTTCAGTCTTTTTAGATTCTTTCCTTCCTGGAAAGAATCCAGGAATGGTAAGCCAGAAGGGCTGCCTGGTTTCCCATTAGGTATGCCTAGGTTCCATTTGGTGGTCCTCCACTCGGCCCCTCGAGGTTGCTCCCTTCATAGGGTTCAACCGGCTTTGCAGCACCAGTGCCTTGGCTTCCCGAAGGGACACCTCCCCCTGCGGGTCCTAGAAACCGCCATCGGGGTTCGGGTGACCATGGATATATTTTCCCATTCCCATCCTGAGTACCAAACTCTCAGTTTGAGGGTTGTTCATTGCCCTTGTCTCAGGGTGATGGTCATACTGTTTTGCCTCTGTCATGCTGCTTGTTGGGTCGACGACACCTTTGACCCAGAATCGTACGAGACTTGTTCCTCGCTCGTTATCCAATTTACCCATTCTTCTTTGGGAAATATTAGGGGTCAAACAGCTTTCGTGTTGCAGGCCAGGTTTCAGTTTCAGTTGTTGCAATGCGCTAGGTTGGTTGCCTGGTTTAATGCCCTGGGGAATGCCCCATTTTGGTTTTAGGGATCCGGATTTTGGGATGTTGGTCGCTTCGACCTTAGTTCAGTCCGCACCCCTTCGTCCTTCCCCTGTTGGTGTGATTCACCCTCCTCCTCCTCCTTCCCTGCTGCCGGCTCCCAAACTTCTGAGGGTTTTGGAGTCAGGGCGGGGTTTTAGTTGGGGGATGAGACTTGGTCAGCTCTGGGGGCTGCCTCATTTAACGCAGGGACGAAGGCCTTTGAGCTTGATCCTCCTGCCGAGGCTTCTGGGTCTTACCAGAAGACCCCTTTCTTTGATGCCTTTCCCTTGGACTCTGCCTTTTCCTCAGGAGTAGTGGGTGTGGAGGTTGGCTCTGCCCCAGGAGCCTGGTTTTGAGGCTTCTGGGGCTGGGGAGGAGTCGGCCCTGGGGTACTTGTGCACACCCTTTTGATCTTGCGTGGGCTTTGGTACCCTCGGGGCAGGGCTTGCTGTTGCAGGTTTTGGGGGTTTTTGTATCCACCTTTCTTGTACAAGTTTGAGATAGGTTTGTTTCCACGTTCCTCTGGGTTCCGCTATTTCATAATTTCGCAGGATTTCTACCACTCTTGATTTCCCCTACAGAGATTCTGGAAACCCTAGGTGCATACCTCCTGCGAGACCCGGACTTTGCCTCTGTGATGGACCCCGGTCACTTTTTAGTTCGGTTCTTCTTTCCCATATTGGGTGCGTTAAGAGGTTCTGGCATCTTACTGGCTTGCAGACTGCTCTTTCTTTTCGCTTGGGGCGTGGCATGGCTTCTGTCATACCTGCACCCTGGATTGGCAGGACCGTACTACGGTATTGCAGGTTTACCTGGGAGGCGCTTTTGAGCACCTCAATGCATGCCTTTATGCCACTGTGCTTCCTCTTGAGGTTGGCTTGCTCCAGTTGCATGCCTATGTGCTTTCTCTTTTGGCTTCCTTGGTTGTGGAGGAACTTCGCACTTGCAGGGACATCTGGCCTCGGTCCTGCACTTGTTTTCTCTTCTCATGCTGTCCTCGGACTGGCTTGTGGAGAATGTGTAGTCGCTGAGTGCCGGGCCATTGTCTGGGGCATTGCTGAAACTGTATGCGCCTATCCTCTGGGAGGCAGTGACTGTTTTTTGCCTCTCACCTTGCGTGTTGACAGACCGTCCTCACTCTCTCACTATTGATTCAGCTTGGGTTCCTGGCTCATCAGTTTTCTTCACCTTTCTGTCCGTTACTGGTTGCAGACTCTACTGCTGCTCAGTTTTGCAGGCGGCTTCTGTTAGTTGCCGTCCTCTTTCCTATTTGTTGGCGATCCAGGGGTGGACGTTCTCGCGCTTCCCGGAAAGATTGTGCCAGTGTTCAGGGGGCCAGATTCACAAAGAAGTTACGCAAACACTTACAAACCTGTACATCTTTTCTCAATATTTGGCAGCTTTGTTTACAATTATTAAACAGTTAATGAGCTCCGAAGCACCAGAAGGCTGTTTATAACAATAACAAGAGTTAATTGGGAGGTTTTTATGCCTGTAAACTGTTTAATAATTGTAACCAAAGCCATCAAACATTGAGGAAAGATGTACACATTCGTAAGTACTGGCGTAACTGCTTCGTGAATAGGGGTCCAGGTCTCTGCAGAATGAGGTGGGCCCTTGGTGCCAGCTTCTGTGCCTGTGCCTCCTTTGAAGTCATCTTCATCTAGTCAAAGCTGTGGTCACTCTGCACGTAAGTCGGCTTCTCGGAGGGGACGCCGACCATTTC